GCGCCTCTTACCTCAGCCTGTCTGTCACTGTTTCCTCTTCTGGGAGTCACCTGACTGCACATGCATCCCACCCACCCCCAGAGCATCCGGCCACATTTTTCTCTCTGCAGCTGTCATTTCCCAGCTGTGTGTGGGCCACACTTTGTTTAAGGCTGTGCTTCAGAGACTCCTTCTATTTGCAAACCAAAGTACTCAGTACTTAGCAGCAGAGCAGTAAAAGAGCTGCCACCCCAGCCTCGAACACCGGGGACCCTGTGAGGAGGGTGAGAAAGAGAAAGGATGTATACATGACATGGTTCGGGGTGTGGTGTCATCTGCCAGTTCCTTGTGTGACTTAGGCAAGTCTTCGGTTTTCTTGTTATTAAAATGGAAATAAAAGGAACAGCTACCTCTGTAAGATTTAGATGTGATAATGAGTACCAAACAATGCCAGACAAGATTAAACATGGCTTGCATCACCTGATATAGTTTCCAGAGGTCTGAAGGCTCCCTGCAGAGAAGGGCCATATTTGCCAGGTCGTTACTGTACCCATGGCTGTCAAATGCTGGAGAAGAAGAAGGTGTAACAGAAGGACGCATCTAATAGTCACGAGAGGTCACTAGTGGGAAGAACACACAGTGAAGGAAGTCTCTGGAAGGGAAGGGGCGAAGGAGAGGGTTGTTTTCAGTGTTTGCCTGGCTCATGCATGAGCTCTAAACTCAGTAGATGGTGAAGTCGGGGTGCTATGTGAGATAAAGGAATTAGACACTAGGATTTAAGGGACACAAATACGAGTGGATCAAAGCAGTAAATGCAGGTGTAGACGGTTATCAATTTGATTTGAGAAGCTAATCCATCCCACCAGCCCTCCCCAGCAGGTCTCCTTCCATTTCACTTTCCTAAGAGACTTCCTCTACTAACGCTTGTATTGGAGTATAGAGTGGGAAAGAAATACCTACGCTTCCTTCATTATGTTTTCATACAACAGGCAGTGGCGGGTAGAGCTGGGTCCAGCTACCTTTAAACCAACTTCCTTCTTAGGCGTGATCTCTGTCTCATCTGGTTTAAGGCCTTGTCACAAGCATTGAGAAAGGCACTCTACTCACTGAGTCCCTTAGTGCCGTTGTCGTGGTGTCTCTGGCATGATGACTATCCAAATCTTTTTCGATGGTGCGTTCTACTCTGAGACAGAGAGAGCAGCAGTTCATAACGTTATTTTTATAGAAAGAGAAATAAGTCCAGACATGTTCAGCAGCCCTTTAAAGGTCACAGTTTACGGGAAAGTAGCTCTCTAATTTACAAGTTGGGAGACCTTGAGCAAGACAGAAAGTTTCTGTACCTCTGTATTTTCATCTGTAAAATGGAGATAATAATATACTTGCCCCACAGTGTAGATAACAACTCACAAATAATGAGGCTGCCAACTCTAAATGTGTGTAGCCTGTGTTAATTCAGTGAACCGCTCAGACAATCTCATGAATTCAAGTGCTATACTTTCCTTCTTTGAAGACAAAGAACTTGAGGATTCTGTTTTACCCACATAATTGAAGTAGTAATACACGAGTCCAGGATTCAAACCCATCTCCACCCCACAGCCTTTTTCTTTGTGTCTCGGCTAACCAGAGCTACAAACACGGAAGCACCGTTCCTCAGGTGTTTAACTCTCCTCGGTGTTGTGAGTGTAGCTGGTGGTGCGATGCAGGTCTAATAGGTGTAAGACCCCAGGTTCAGTCTCCACCACTACAAATAAATCATTCACAAGTATCCCTGGAGTTCCCGCTCTTCTCACACTTTGGCTTCCTCACACCTACCATCCTCAAATTGCTTCATTACTAAAATAATGTTGCAACAGTATAAAAACGTAAGAAATAGAGGTTAGAATATTCCCTGTAGCAGTGAGTCAGACACATCTGTGTGAATTCATGGTTATCTTCATGTAGATAGATGTTTACCTCTATAAATGTTCATTGATATGCACAGGCTTATAGTATGCACATTCCTCTCCTTGGACTGTCCGATAACGATGCCTAAAAATAATACACCCAAGAAGCAACTAGTATTCAGGTCTTGGCTTCTAATTCCATTCTCCAGTAAAAAGAGCTGAAGCTCCTTATGGATGTGGCTGGTTCTGTAGAGGACAATGGTGAACAGATGGTCCTAAGTTAGCATGTAGTCTAGAAAAGAAGTGTAGATAGACAAGTGGGGTCACACAAAGTGGAGTGTGTTCAAGGATGTGTCCACAAGCTAAGTGAAAGTGCTCTGAGTGGCCAAGACTGGGGGATGTTGAGCAACACATCCAAGTATGAGATACATATTTGTGGGTTGATATTAACTTAAATGAACAAGTGAATCAATAAATGGGGGAAAAAAAGCAATACCTTCCAGGCAGAAGGTGGAATGTAACCTGTCACTCTAGCTATGGTCTATCTGTCCATGACTTTCTTCCAGACATTCATGACGGAAGAGAGAAGACAGTGCAGTATTACCTGTGGAGAGACGTGATAACTGCCCTTCAAGCCAGTAAGTATCAAAGTCAAGAACCCTGTGACGTCATGGAGATAACCTGTGTCCCTTACTGCAACATGATGAGAACGAGCCTTTGCCTCTGGAGCCTTCCACCTTCAATGTGATAGGCCTGACTGGTGAGCATTCTGTAACATACCTGAATGGTGATCCTCAGAACAGTTAAAGACATAAAAAATAAGGGACATCTGAAAAACAGTCACCGGGAAGGAGAGTCTGAGTAGCTGTGAGGACTGAATTGAATATGATATCCTGCATGAGATCCTAGAGTGGGAAAATGAGATTGGGAAAAACAAGAGAACCTGAATAAACAATATGCTGTAGCTAATCACCACGAGTTTGTATTGATGCACTAGCTGTGATAAATGAATACTGCCACAGGGGAAACTGGTCACAAGCACACAGGACCTCCATCTTAACATTTGCAATAATTCTAGAAATCTATATCTTTTAAAATGGCTTGTTTAAAATAACTTGTCTGCCATTTCTTAAGACATCCAAATATGAGAACTACAGTTTCAGAAATTAAAGATGGAAGTAACCAATCTCCAAGATTGAAGGAGAGAGTTATAAAAAAAAAAGCCAATAAAATAACCAATAGTCCAGCTCTTGGTTTTGTTATCTGTTCAAAACATGATCATTTTAATAACTTGGTGGAGACTCAATCCTGTCCACCTCTGTGCAAAAAACATATGATGGGAATGAAGCAAGATACCCCAACAGTTGTGTGCTCCATTGAATAGATCTCATCTAATTTCAGTCACAAAGTGCATCTTCCACCTAGCTGCTTTAGAACTATGAAGAGACACCAGGACCTTTTCAGAGACACCACTGTCAAAACTGCTTTCAGAATGATTCCAACGAGTTGATCTTTTTTCATTCTTAGTCTCTCAAGATATGCTGGAGCTTCCAGAGGCTGCAGGATATGCAATATTATAATAAGTTAACACAAAGTATCTACAAAAGACCACTGCTCGATGTGAAGCCTTTTGCTTATCACTACCTTGTTTGAGATCACAGAGCCCTTTTCATAAAATATGCTAAATACATATAGAATTGTTATTTTAAATGAATTTATAAATATTTTTAATATGTCTTTTCATTTTTAACATGGTGAGCGCTGGTAGATATAACATATATAAAACAAAATCCCTTGAAGGCCCTTAGTCATTTTTGAGAGTATAAAGTTTGAGAATGAAAAGCATGGGAAACCTCTGTTCTAATTACAGTGGTCTGTCAGGGGGAATGGTTCTCACTGCAGATCACCTTGAATCTTAACCTGTCCTGTGGTTAGAGAATTCCTCACCCACCCAGTCTGAAGGGAAGGAGTAGTGAAAGTGCCCAGTGCGTCCCAGCCTCCCCGGCAGCTTAGGCAGAGCAACCTTAGGCTTATCAGCCGCACGTACTCATCTGAACTTTGAATCTGGAGCTACTCCCATAGGGCTGCGACCCACTCTGAGAGGGCAGAAGGAGTGGCAGAAATATCAGCTCTCAGGAGCAAAGGTTCTGTAGGCAGCCTCTGTGTCCACTGTGAGTGGCATCCGTGGCACACGCTGCAGCTTGGACTCCTGTGTCTGGGAGTGGCAGAATCTGTACTCACATCTGCAAACAGGACTTTGGATATTGTTCATAGCTAATCCATCCTGGTCCTGGCTCTCCTGTTCACATCCCCCATGCTAATATTAAAATTTCACTCATCCAGAGATGCTCCATTGTTGTGACTAAGAACTCTGACCAATCCTACAAACAACTGTCATTACGGATCTTGATCCTGTTTATATCAATCAGCCTTTCTGCAATTCCATCAATAAACGATTAACTTTAAGAAGAGAAAACAAAATAAACACTCTTTAGCCCTTTGTCAGCCATTAAAAAAAAAACAAACAACAACAACAACAACAAAAAAACTGCTTAAGTGAATTAAAACGTTTACATTTTCAGAGTTTAAAAAAAAAAAAAATGCTGGCGCTCTACTCCAGCAGCGAACTTTTACCCAGACTTTGGAACCATGACCTAACTAACTCTCAACCAGTAGACTGTAAGATTTGCATTGTTACTTCTCAGCTATGCAGTTTCTACACACGAGCAAGAGGCTCCGAGGTGAGCAGCTGGTGACGCCATGCCGTGTGCTTAGTTCCTTAGAAACCATTTCAAGTTCCTCCAGTCTTTCTGAGCCAATCAAAACAGAAATGTTTGAGAGCATCTCATTTTATAGAGTGCTTAAGAGCACCATGAGAGCCATACTAGGTTTCAAATGTAGCGGCGAATTATCCCGAAAGGATGCAGGACCTGGCTCCCATTAGCTTTCTTTCTTGTTATTTAATGTGATGTATACAATAAAATAACACTCCATTTGAGCTGCTTGGGCCTGGGATGGTTCTGCTTTCTAAAATTTTGCAAGTATATTTTAAAGTTGCTTTTTTTTTTTTTAATTCAAATTATCTTCCTGCTAGACATCAAGAGTGAAGGGTGTGCAGGCTGATTAGGTCCTTCAGATCTTTCCAAGTCGTCCTAACTCAAATTGTTAGGGGTTTAAATTTTAATTTTGACTGGAAACAGCATCCTCTTTTGGAACTAGAAATACTGCTTGAAACTGAAATACTACTGAAGATTAAAGATTCTTTGAAGTCTTGAAATAATTCAGAAAAAAACATAACTAGGGAAGCAAACGCTGCTTTTTTTTTTTTTCTTTTCATTTTGTGCACTTTGATTGTTGGGTTTGAGGTGTGTGTGTGTGGGGGGGGGGCATCCCTGTGTTGTCAGAAGACAGGCTTGGGTCCTGGACACAACACGACAGGAAGATATAAAGCAACATAACTTGAGACCAGGTTGACGTATTGAAAAAAACAGGCTTTTATAATGACCAGTGATAACCTGCTTCCTGCAAATCTAAATTATGGGTGCATCTTACTAAACAGTAGAGCTTTGAGCGCTCTGCGGCTTCTTATCTCGATGTACTGGAAGCTTCACAGACACAAAATCATTTGTCTTTGCTTCTTCCTGTCTCTCACCCAGGATGTCTGCCTTTCTTCTCTGCCTGCTAAGAACAGGGAACAGCAAAAAAAAAAAAATATTTTTGATCTGTTCCCATTACTTTTGTGAGCGTTGTTCAGTTTGACCTAGGCAACATCACATACGTATTTTCAGTTATATAAATGATCAGAATAGGCCTGTTTTATTTAGCATTTAATTATCTCACTCTTCTAACCCCTGAGTTCTCCGCGCTATTAACCAGCCCCTAAGAAGGCTGCTCTAGCAAAGTAAAAATAGGCAGTTCCTCCGAGACACTCCCCATTATTTCTTGACCTATAAAAATCCCCACTGAGTAGCTGAGCCCTGAGCGGGTGGTGTAAGGGCTTCTCGGGCAGCCCAGCATGCTGGATGTGGAACAGGGTGTATCCGTATTAACAGTCATGTTTTAGAGCTCCTAGACAGCCTCCACGGGCAGGGCTTTAGCTGAGCCTTGGTACCCCTAGGATGACTGCAAGGAAGGCTAGCATTCTCCCATTCCACGGATGGGAAAAGGAACGAGAGGAGGGAGCTGCCCATGGAGGCCAGGGCTCAGGCTGGCGTCGAAGATGGCAGGCCCTTTGGGGCGACACCCAAGGGAGGGCCGCGCAGGGGTAAAGCTGCTGGGCTGCCTCCCTTGCCCACTCTCAGCCTGTTCTGAGTCATACCAGGAGGTCCTCTGACATCAGCCACAGGCAGCAGCGGTGGGGGTGGGGAGGAAGGTGGGGGGGTTGGGGGGGAGGAAAGCATAATTTGTCAGCAGACGGCAAGCAAGGGGAAAATGTGTGGCTGTCTCACACACGGCTGCGTGTAGAACCAGAGTCCTGAGACTTGGCCTCTTGGTGATCACATACTCTCTACCGGCTGGGCCAAGCTTACGCCCCACCCACCCCCCACCCCCCCACCCCGTCCTAGATGGCCTGAGAGTTTGTGTGTGAGCATTTGGTAGGCCAGGAATGATCTGTCTTTGAACTAATCAGCAGCCAAGGGAGTCTACTTATTCTTAAGAATCAGCATTTCCAAAATAAGACTAGATAAACAAAAATACAAAGGAATAAAACTTCTGTAATAAACTGAGAAAAGTTTGCCATACTTTCTTGCACGCGATAAAATGTATATGCCATTTTTTTTTGAATTCTTGGAGCATAGATTTAAAGCAGTTTCATTTGGGGATATTCAGGCTCACTAACCTGCCTGGGACCACAGAGCCAGTCAACGGAGACAGATGTTTCCGTCCAGGCTACCAATCTCATGTCCTTAGTACTTTACAGAACAACTAAGTGCAGATGAAATGTTCTCACGTTTTCCTTCTCACCATGTCCTAGCTCCATTATGTAAGAGCCTGCGATTACTGTAGGGAAACCTACTTACCTGGCGGTCTGGTCGAAGGAAACAGGATGGATGTTACAGTGCTCAGTCTTCATGAGAAGATGCTCCTGGAGGAGACTCTGCCTTTCATGTGTGCTCTGTAATTATTTTGGATGTTTATGGGACCACAATGATAGGATGCAGCAGCAGCTTTCCCTCTGATCTTCCCCTTCTGTTCCCATCCCAAGTGTGGCATCCTCTGAGAGCTATTTTTTTTTTTTTGTCCAGTGCTGCTCCCTTTTCTTTATAGCACTTTTTAAAAATCACAATTAGTAATCACATGTACAGTTCATTATTGTTGGTCATCCCTCGGAGACTGTGAGCTCCCCAAAGGGAGTCTCACATGAGCATATGTCTACTCAACTCAGCAGTTTCCCAAGCACATACCATGGTATCTGAAATAAAACAGCAACTCAGTAAATGTTCATTAGATGCATGGACAGGTGGGTGGGTGGTTATGTGGATGAATGCATGGGTGGTTATGTGGATGAATGCATGGGTGGTTGTGTGGATGGATGGATGGATGGGTGGGTGGGTGGGTGGGTGGGTGGGTGGATGGATGGATGGATGGATGGATGGATGGATGGATGGATGGATGGATGAGCAGATCACTTCCTGAA